TTCTTTGAGACAGGGCCTCACTCCAGCCCAGGCTGCCCTCAAACTCAAGGTGATCCTCCTGCCTTGGCCTCCCAAATGCTGGGATTGCAGGTTGGCTCTTGATTCGTATTTGTACTAACATTTTGAAACTTTTAGTTTCCCCACAGCCTCAGTGACTTTCCACCTTTGTGCATCTGTCAAGCATAAATGCTATTCCATATCTGTTTTAATTTGTGCGTCCCTGATTCTAGGGAGGCTGGGAAAGTGTCCACATTTAGCGACTACTCATTTCTTCTTCTTCAGTGAATCTCTCTCATTTATTGCTTATTAATTATTTGCTTAAGTCGACACATGATATCAACACATATATTGATGGAGATTATCTTCACTTAGTAAGATGTTTTAGGGTGTCTCTTATGATTATAGATCTTGATGCTCTCTTGCAGATATTTGCCTCAAAACAGTCGCTCTTTGGAGGACCGTGAGTAGAGGGATCACTTGTCTTTAAACTCTAAGGGCACCCAATTTATAAGACACTGTGTTAGGCATCCCCCTAGGCATTATGTAAATTCTTCCTCAGTTAGGTAGAAATCTGATTTGCTCAGCGAATGGGCTGACAACACTCAAATTTGTTTTCCCCTCAGCCCCAGGCTGGTTCTTTCCTGAGTTCCCTTCCCCTCACCTGTCTACTGGGTTTTTTTTGTTTTGTTTTGTTTTGCTTTTTTGTTTTGGTACTGGGGATCAAACTCAAGATCTTGCTCTTACGAGGCAGGTGGTGGAATCACTGAGGTAAATCTCGGGCCCACTTGTCCACTGTTTTGCAGTTTGCAGAGCCTCATGTTTCTCCAAGGGTCAGGTTCAGTCCCAAGGTCCACAGTGGTCCCTCTTCTTGTTGTTGTCCGTTCCCTACAGGTTTGACACCATGTGTGTACTCTGTATGCTCTGTGTGCACAGTACGGCCTTAGCCAGATGCAGCACCCTTCACTGGTGAGCTCACAGTGTAGGGCTCTCCGTGTTGCAGGGGCAGGACTGGGTGTTGAACCCAGGGCCTTTGCATCCCCAGCCTTGTAGAGACAGGGTTTCATCAAACTGGGCAGACTGGGCTGGAACTTGTGATTCTCCTGCCTCAGACTTCTTGTAACTCCTTGTAATCCCCTGCGTGCTGGGATTACAAACTTGCACTATTATGCCCAGCAAAATCCTGATAAAATTTTGGCTGCTGTTTCAAAAAGATTTACACAGGGAAATTTTAACCTAATTCGTCTCTCCACACATACACACAATGGGAAATTTGTATGTGTTTTTTTCAATTGTGTGTGTGTGTGTGTGTGTGTGTGACCTGTCTTTTGTTGCCACTTGCCGTTAGGCACTCAGCTAACTGTTCTAGACTTTGACAGTAAAGTTGTGAGTTATGTTAGCAAACTGGTTCAAGATTCTCTGATGGCCTGAGCTGCACAGCGAGTTCATATCCAGTGTGGACTGCACAGTGAGACCCTATCTCAAAACACCAAAAAAAGGAAAAATGAAACAACATTTTCTGGTGGCATAAAGAAGGGTGGAATATTTTTCTAATTCAGGAGGCAGATCTCTAAAGCTCGGCTGTTCTTTGCTGTGGCTGCTTTTCCACGCTACCTCAGGCCTGCCCTCTCTGATGTATTGGCTGTGACAGTGTTTGGGCTTGGCTCTACTTTCTGAAATTAAAAGGAAAAACCTAATTAAAAATCCAAACCTAGTCAGAATAAAATAAAATTGAGGGCTGAAGATGTGGCTCCGTGGTTCTACCACCTGCTTCACAAGTACCGAGTTTGATCCCCGGTGCCAATAAAGGAATAAATAAATGTAAAATTGCACTTTTGTGCATCAGGTTGGTCTTATTATTATAACTGCTTAAACTACATGGGCTGTGGAACTGACCCAGGCCCTCGGAGAAACATGAGGCTCTGCAAACTGCAAAACAGTGGACAAGTAGGCCAGGGATTTAGCTCAGTGGCTCCGCCGCCTACCTCCTAAGAGCAAGGTCTTGAGTTTGATCCCCGGTACCAAAACAAACAAACAAACAACAATAACAACAAAAAACTTATATTTTATTTTTTAATTTCGAGGGATTTTTTTTTGAAACAAGGTCTTCCTATATAGCCCAGGCTGGCCTCGAACTCACAGTGATCCTCCTGCCTCAGCCTCCCCAGTGCTGGGATTACAGGCGTGTGCCACCATGCCTGGATCATTGCTGAATTTGACCATTTCCCTCTGTATCAAATACTCAATCTGCAGCAGGAAATA